GTAAGGGCGATAGTACGAGCTAAGCCTGGTAACATCCCCCGGTCGGCGAACACACCTACACGAAAAGATAAATCGCTTTCCCAAAACCCCAATTTAATTCCCGACCGTAACAGTTTATTCCATAGAGGTAAAATTTTCATATCGCAGGGGCAGCATCCGTTAAACGATAAGCGTAACAAAGATTATAGTCTGAGTATTTCCCTACTGCAACGCAAGTGTCAAATAACTTAACAATGATTTGATTTTTTATAAACATGGTTTTAGAAATGCGGCCATTCTTGAAGAGATGAGACACCAGAGCAAGTGCATGGTGGCAGGAATTAAATGCACAACTTAACCAAATTAAAGTAATTCTGCCCAATAAATTTCCAGAGTGTTTATTCGATGTGCTGTAAATAGATTACATTAAAAGATAGCTTGTTTTGAGACAAAACAACAATTCAAAGTATACAGGTTGCCTCAGTCAATTTATGGACAGAATGGTCAATACGCTTGACTTGAGCCTAGTTAAAATTTTATGTACGCAAGGACGAAACTATTGAAGCTTTAAAACGCTAAAAATTCGGCTAAACAAACCCAATGATAGTTGGGGAGCGAGAAATTTGGACCAGAACAGACCATAATTCAATTTTTAAACTCGGTAACCGATAATGTAAGCCTGTTTCAAAAAAAAATAAATGCGTATTTTAAATTGCCTTTTTATAATAGAATCTACATCTATTTAGCTTTAAATAAGTTATTGTTGCTATTTGTAATAGAGGTTAATAGATAATGGATATTTTTGTAGTTACGGGTTTTTTGTAACATAACGATTTCTTTTTACTGCCATGTCGCACAACCCGACACGTCGTACAGTTCATAATACAATTTATGGGGGAGAAGCCAATGAAGGGATAATAATATTTGAGCCTGCACGACCTGGCAGGCTGTGCGACATGGCAGTTAATACCAGTCCGGCGTCGCTGATTTCTTTTTTCGAAATAAGAATTTTTATTATAGGAGCAGTAATATTCTTTTCTTTGACAAGCAATTTATGGATTTTAAATGCCACTTTGTTAAATAAAATTTCAGATGTAATGTGTTTCTTTTATCGTAGAATTGTTTAGATCGGGCAAGTGACTTTTGTTCACTGATACATTTCTTATTGATTATAACTTTATCGTCTTAATTAATGCTTCAAAAAAGAATTTTTCTTGAGCATTTTTTCGTAGAGCGTGGATTGATAAAAATTATTAGATTGCATTTAAAAACATTTATTATATTGTGGTTGATTTTTCCTGAAAGTATGTGAATTGGCAAACTGTGCAGGAAAAATAGAGTATGCAGGGAAGTCTAGTCAAGACACCGCTCAGAAATTAATAGCTAAGCGAGGCAGCAAGTAGATTAATATATTAGTATCAAACGCGAACAAACAATGAGAGAAGAATTGAAGGATGTGAAAGAGAAGCTAGAGAGGGTAGAGGCCGCGTTGAAGAAGGAGAGACGACGGGAAGTGGGGTTATACTCATTAATGGCTTTTGATTCGAGCATTTTTCTTCCCTGTAATGAGTCTAGCTTTATTATTGTTTTTTAATGTATTACTATTCATTCTTTGATTGCAAACTATATAATTTGGTATTTATGTTAGAACATAATGACGATCTTAGGAATACGGGTGCGTTATTAGTCGGCATGCAGAATGCCCTTTTTGAATTGCAGGAAAGTGTTACGCGTAGGGATCATTCTATTGGCATAGCAACATTTTAAAAACTAAACAGATCGCAATATTTCCTGGACGTTGATGATTTGATTTGCATGCTTAAAACTGTGTGTTTTGACAAAATCAACTGTCAAAACAATATTTAGGAGAAACATTCGATAACTATTTTTGCTGAGCCTTCTAATTTTGAAAGTCTATAAATTATTAACAAACAGAGTTGTCTTAATTCGGTCTGTGAAGTTCTTATTCTGCCTTTTAAAGGTAGAAAGCAAAAAAAGAAGAATCATTTGCACCTTCGGACGTACAACCCTGAAATCTTTTCACATGTAAGCACGGGGACATTACTATGATCGCCTATATATTACTAAACTATTTAATCACCAGCTCCATTCTAAGGTTCATACAAATTGTTCGCCATGCTTGCGTTTGTAAGCCTTTTCGTTGTGTTAGGTGCGATTTTACTGCTCATTTGTGCGCATGCGATTACATTTGTACTAAATCTTGCATTTTCAACGATAATCATTAGCTTATCGTCTTCCCTGTGTTGTATACGAACACTTTGCATCAATCTTTGTTTGCGATAGCACCGGTCGTTGTTATCCTAACCTATGGCAGAGGATAGTAACAACAACGATTAAGGCATTTTCTGATTTAATACCTTGTTCAATTGTCAGAGTGTTGTTCAGAATGGTTGGATACATGGACCAGTTGATGTATGGTCCATTCAGGACGATTCACTGGTCAAGACATATTGAAGAAGAAGGAAATAAATGGAAAGCGTATTTAATAGCTGAAGGTGCAAATAATGTCCAAGTTGGAGAGAATGCGGATGTCGTCATTCTATATGCACATGGTAAGTAAATTAAAATACTTAGTGATAATTAGAAATAATGATAAGGCCGTTAGTAAACAAATTCTATCCAGGCGGAGGTTACGCCCTGGGACATCCAATTTTGTCAATTGCCGTATTCGTTCAATGGATCAAATACTGGAAGGCAACCTATAATGCCAACACTCATATAGTCTCAGTCAGCTACGGTATTATATCACAGTGATTGCGATTGCTATTATACAAGCCCAACTCTGCTTCTCACGTCACACATATTTTCCAGGATTAACACCAGAACATGTATTTCCTAGTCAACGAAACACTTTCGTACAATGTTACCAGTGGCTGGTGCACGAGAGGGGCATTAATCCATCTCGTATAGCTTTTGGTTAGTATCATCATCATGTAACGACCGCTGCAAGATAATCTACTCACGTGGCTTGCATGCTTCTTTAGTTGGCGATAGTGCTGGAGGAAACCTTGCCATTACTTCAGCCATACATGTAATTCGGAACCCTACTTTACTAGCTGTACCTCCGCCAGGCTGCATACTAGGAATATCTCCTTTTGTCTCGGGGATGACTACGTCCATGTCATGGAAACTAAATTCTGAATTTGATTATATTAGTCACGATTGGTTTGAACAACGCGCCCAATCCTACCTTAGAGGCACGAATGTTCAAAAGGACGATGCTGCCGTATCGCCATTGTTCGAGAAAAGTCTTCATGGATTGCCGCGCATGTGGATGTGTGTGGGTGACTGCGAGGTATTTAGAGATGATGTAGTTGCATTCATACGTAAAGCAAATGAGGACGGCGTTAGTGCAGAAGTAGTAGTCGAGAAAGGCAATGTGCATAACTATGCAGTCGCATGGTCACTTGCAAGAAATGGCGCAGAGAAAAAAGCAATGAAACAGATGGGGAAGTTTATATTCGGAGAAACTTGTAATATTTAAATTACTCATACTAATACTTGAATAAATAAAATAATGTCCCTAATGGGAAAGTTTTGGTGATGTGTTTGGATCGGAGTGGACGCTGCTCGTAACACATTCGAATACAGCCCTCAAAGTGTAGTGTTATCACTCTTGGACCCTTCTCGTATCAACCCATACACTTAACTAGTTATTATTTATCGAATAGTTATCGAGTTTATAATTATTGTAATATTTATGTGCCGTCGATCATGGAGGAGCCAACATCCCGCGCGTCCACGTCGAGAGAACACAAACAAGGAAGACAAAGCAGAGACTTTACAACTGAACAATCAAAAGCAGTAAAACGGATCAGGGCCTGTGGCAGTTCCAACTATTACGAAGTGTTAGAAATAAGTCGAGATGCAAGCGAAGCAGAAATAAAAAGGGCATATAGGAAGGTACAGGACACTTGGTCTAACTGCAAGAACTTTATACCAATGCAGACCAATTTTCATTTGTATGTTATGTCTAGGTCTCAAATGTTTTAGTCACCCAAGAAACAGAATTGATCATTTACTTTTGCATGGATATAGCTAGCTTTACAAATGCACCCGGATAAGAACGGTGCACCTGGAGCAGACGAGGCATTCAAAAGTTCGTATTTAGACATCTAAACAAGATTATACTCAATGAAGACTAAAGGCTGTAAAACTTTATCATTGCCTATCTTACAGTGGTCAGCAAAGCATTTCAAGTACTAAGCGATCCCCAGAAACGAGCGATCTTTGATGCAAACGGTTCTGATCCAGATTCAAGCACAGCCAGGATGCAATCGCGTGCTTATGCCAGGGCCTCCTCCGCATTTGGAAACGGTCCAGTAGAACTAACACCAGAAGAGCTCTTCAACATGTTCTTTAATGGAGATTTGAGCGGTGAGTAGATAGTTATCGTCTAATTGTACCGTGTAATAGATGTAGCCATAATCTTGATTTCAATGTTTATTATTTTAACGTTTGTTTACGTCGCTCCGACTCGTATCCAGGATTTCATTCAGCTACGTTCGTCAGCCCGGGATTTCCTGCTCGACGGTACCCACCTGGTCGAAGAACAGCAAACGAAGATGATACACACGCACCATCTGGCTGGGTTACTTTCCTTCAGTTGTTACCTCTACTACTTCTCTTTCTTTTCTCTATCTCATCAAATATATTTGTTCCGCCTCATGATCCATTACCCGAGTTCTCTCTACGAGAAATACCGCCATACACTCAAGAACGATATACTAATGTATTACGGGTCAAATACTACGTCAATCCGAAAACTTTTGGAGGACTCGAGCAGCAACCACGGAAACTACATGGACTTGAAGACAACGTCGAGAATACATACGTTAGGAATCTGAGTCATAGATGTCTTCAGGAAGAGGTGAAGAAAAATAAACTTGTCCGTGAAGCGGCTGGATGGTTTTTTTATGATACTGAAAAAATGGAAAGAGCAAAGTTGATGAAAATGCCCAATTGCGACGAATTAGAGGCTTTAAAACGCAGGCATTATGCATCATAATCTGCACGTAGAGCGTGGTTGGATTATCAACATTTAATCATATATACGGTAAACAGCGTCGGTTTATAAGAGTTTGGACAAAAAGAAAGCTTTGTATGGATATCTAATTATTTAACGAGCAGAGGCTGACACTAGATTTACATTCCGATAGATATTGAGAGAAATGATATAGAAAAACTTTCTGCATGTAATATTATTTGTCTTCTTTTTTCAAAGTAATTGAATGCATTGAAAAGTTCCTTGTCTGATAGTACCACGTGTAATAATAATTCAAAATGAGATGTGATCGCCCGCTGAACCGCCTTCGCCAACGCGAACCCGTCACTAATTAAGAAATAACTGTATGCGCACATACTTATTCATATATTCCCTTTTCTTATTTGTACATAATCCTCTCAACATATTGATAATTAACTACTCGCATTTACACCTGGAATATGGCCGAACAACTATTGAATACTAATGACTGTTCTAGTGAAAACATATTCAGATTTATGACAGGTTCTCCAAGACAACCCTCCGCAACCGTTTTTCCTTTTGGCAGCATGCAGTTTACTCCCCAAGATCTCGGGAAAATGTTTACAATCCAAGGACAAGTAACCTCAGACTCACCAGCACAAGAGCCACTGCCAGAACAGCAACCTCAGTTTAGGAAAATAGTACGACCAATACTGCCTTCACTAAATACCGATTTCACTCAAATATCAATGATACAGAATAACTATTATATGACAGCTTCCCCGGCAGATATTCCAGACTTCTCCTCCTCACACCAAAGAAGAGACAGTAATGTCTCAGCAATGTCAATTCAAGGTGACATACCCACTCACCACAGACGAGATAGTAATGTATCTGCAATATCTATGCAATTAGATACTCCCACTCCAAGCGAAAACGAATCCTACAACGATGATGACCCCAACAAGCCAACATTCTCGTTCCAATTTATACCAAAATCTTTCTCGCGGCCCGGTACTCCCACATCGGCTCCATCTACACCTCCAATGTACCCTACAAACCTATTCACACCACCAACAACGCGGTCTACCCTTTTTTTATCTAGTACGCCACAATTATTAAGAAGGTGTAGTATGAGTGATCTGAATCTTGACAGTTCACCAAATGGATCGTTTTCAGATTCGCGAAGTGAACGACCTTCACCTGTTTATCGGCCTGTTAGGGCCAGGCGAGCGTCATTGTTGGTAGGTAAGAAAGCAACGTCTGCGACTAATTCGATCCGGCGGTGAATCGAACGGATAAAATCATCTCGTTGCAATATGTTTTAATCGTCAGCCAAAACTCAATCATTATTCAATAGCCAAAGATAAAGTCGTTCACTCGGGTCGTAAATGAACTTCAAGAGGAGGCCAGTCCAATTGAAGCAGAGATTAGGCAAGAATATAAAACCACAAAAGTGCTCAAAGGTGAACATGGAAAGTCGACCGATTGTAACCAGAGAAAATCCGAGGTTAGCTCTCTCTACAACTCTGGGAATGTAACTTGGGCACTGGTCATACTAACTATGAAATTGAATAAATATCTAGGATTTTATTGTAAATTGGCTGAAATTCCGTGACTTACAGCCCTCGCCGCCCCCTTCTACAGTTTCAAAATTGAGCCCCGAGGTTGAGATGATGGTAAGTGAGAACCACAACTTAAATTGATTGATTAAGGTTCAAGGAATTTTAATAGCATGATGATGCTTACTTTCATTTGCTCGGATATGTAGCGTCGCCAAGATGTAACATCACCCGTTCAGCCAAATGTCGGATTTATTGCTGGACGAGTAAAGCGAAAGAGTAAGCACTTTATAAGGATTGGTTAATTTTATTAACAAGTTTGGCCAACATTATGTATAGAGCTGGTCAGATTTGTCGGGTCATTCCATGGCGAGTATTTTCGGCAATCATTTAGCGGACATTCACTAACAAGCTTTCCTTTCAATTTGTTCGGCTGATTAACCCAGCCTCGGATGACCGATTTGGACCCTATTTCAATCCAAAGCGGCGTGCGGTATCACCGGTTCCGTCTTCTCCCTCTCCCTCCCCATCTGGAGTCATGTCATATGGATCGAATTTATCAACGACCTCGCAGAACATCGCCGCAATTAAGGAACCGTCATATAGGAATAGTCACGAGGATAATGATATTAAGAACAGTCATGAGGGTAACAAGGATTATGAGAATGGAGGAAACAATGGTGATGCTGTCAGTATTCATGACACTAATCGTAGGTTTAGTACAATGAGCTTGAATTGAGATCATAATGAACCATTTGGCGTGGCTAGGAGAGAAAAGGAGATGAGGGACGATTGTAAATATCTTAGTTTAATAATAATATATGGTGTTTATTCGTATGCTTTTGCCTTCTCTCTACGAGTACAACACAATGTGAGGACGCGGTATTATCTAAGAAAGTGTAAACACACATGTTACCCAAAAAGTATAGTATATCAGGATGAAATCAACTTCTTCCGGTATAAATTATAATACATCTATCCTAACCCTTTGCCCAAAAGCTGCCACGTTTATATAGACAATTTATTGTATATAAAATAGATGTGTTATAGTAAATTTAATAATGTGCATGTTAATCTATTATCACTAAAGATGAATTGCTGACTGATTAATATTGTTAAAATGGGGTGCCCTCCTTAATACAAAAAATACCAACAGAGAAATCCAAAGAAGGTTCCGAGGAACAATTCAAGTGTCGTATGAAAAAAAGATACGGTCATTAGCAACATCCACGTCCATAAACCCAATAAACTATAAAGCGGCCATTTACGTATATTGTTCTTATAATACAACTTCACTAAGAGTTCCTCTATCAAAAACAACGAAGCATGTATCAATAACATACAATGTCCACTTATATCCACCCCATCCCACTGCCCGCCGCTGTTTTTGCAACTTGAAGCGTCCATGTCGCTTGTTCCATTAGAACAGGATCCAGTTTGTATAAACACAGTATGGAAGAGACTTGGCATGTACAGACCCTGAGTCATGAGGTACCAATACGAGGTGGTTATTGTGTACCTTTTAATACGATCGATTGTGTGCTTGCGGGGAGCATTACTTAATCCCCAGGTGTAATAAAAGAATATTAAACTAGTCCAGAACCATCCGACTTTTACAAAGTATTTGTTCACAACGTTCGAGCCAGCCCAGTAAGACTTCTGCCGGAATTTTACCTTTCGTGCTACTACGACCAATGTTATGATTGATATGTATAAAGCAGGAAGGATAATTCGTCTTGTGGATCGCGTAAATAGCAAACTCGATAATGAATTTGATCCGAGCTTTTTGGAAGAATGTTTGTCTGTTGAACTTTGGTCTGTAGTACTGTCGATATGAGATTCATCAGACTCACGTTCGTCTATCCCTCGATTGATGCTCGCGCGCTTGACGGGCCCTTGATATTGCTCCATTAGTCGATCCAACATTTGTAAAGTTGAAAGGGAGGAAAATTCCAGTGGGGCAAATTTATAGTCTTACATGTGTAACTCTTTCACGTGTAACGAGTTTCACCAACTCTTTGTTTCTACTGGATCTGTCACTCTTTCTTATGCAATGACAGATGTAAGTGTGCAGAAAGTCAAGAATGAGCCAAAGCCGGCTAGCATAAAGGCGTCTTCTTCAGACACCTCTTTGGAAAGTGCGGATGTCGGGGATGAAAATAATGATTCAGCGAATGAATTTACGCATACAGTGCCTTTGTTGTCAGAAGGGTTGCTGGCACAAGTACAGCCCGTGTTGGCTCAAATTGAAGAACAACTGAGAGAGTTTGAGTGAGGTTCAGCTCCACTATTATAGAAATTCATCATTGAAATTCCATATAGGAAAGCCATTATTCATGTTTTCTGTTGGTCGCATAGAGAGAAACAACGGCTTCTTCTCGAAGATATCACCAGCACGCATGCGCGATCAAATAATCAACCTAATTACGACTATATTTCACATACTGTGAGTTGTTTCTGTTATCATATTACACCTTTTTTTTCGTTTAAAAAGATTTCCTGTCTTTACTGATATGGTCTGCATTCTTTTTGTTACCTAAAGTTCTCCAAACTTCCGGAATACCAACAGAAGCTCCAAACCATCAAACAAACAATGGTGACCATGATAGCACGATCGAAAATCCTCAAAAGTCGTACCGCACATTTGAAAACATTGAAGCAACAACGATTGGCCCAAGTCGCGGTATTCCAGAGACGAGAACGTAGAATTGATCAGACAGTCTTGGCTGCTAAAGTTGCTGCGCCAGAAGTGCAGGTTTTGGTGAAGAAGAAGAAAGAGAAGGACAAAGGGAAGGAGAAAGGAAAAGAGAAAGTAAAGGATAAAGACAAAGACAAAAACAAAGCTAAAGCAACTAAAGATAGAAATAAAGATAAAGGACAGAGAGAAAAAGGAAAGATAAAAGGTAAAAGTAAGAAGAAAACGAGTGCTGAAACTGAATCGTCTGCAAGCGTTGTAAACGTTAATGATGAAGCGTCATAACTGCTTTGTTTTATTTATTCTGGATTATAATGAATGATACGGGAACCTGGGAGAGCATTAGATGATTTGGTAGAGAACGTAATAAATGGTGAGACTATCAAAGATGCTATACTTGCGAAATGCGGCAATTAGTAACTAAACATGGTTTACAGCTAGAGAAGACTAGCTCAGTCAACAAAAGGGAGACAAAAGTATTGCACAGTCGTAATTTACTTTCATATTAATATAGCGTGTCATGCAGAATAAAGTGACAAGTTACGGTATACTTTTCGTGGATTCTTGATTCATCGAAAACCTGTTGGAACTGTTGTGCGATAGTAATAGTCATAGCGCATTCCAATTTGTCAACTTTGTTCAAAGAGATTAAATTGAAGAATTTCTTGGAAACCTTCAATAAAAGCTAGAGGCACATGGATCAGAAGATTTAAACAACGTTCAGCTGACGGGACATATACCGAGCAAAAGTAGAGGTAATTTTTGATCTGTCATAATAGTCTGCAGCCAAACTAATGTCAGAATTTCAGTCCCAATCCGGCCAAAAATCATGACATTTAACATGCTTGCGTTTATCAGTTTCTACGTTCCTCGTATCACATGTTTGTTCCCCTCCTAACCAATATCCTCTGGTTGTAACGTTAAAACTAACTTGGAAACACTTGTTGGAAATGTTTGTACCCACCGATCGTATACTACGCAGGAATTACGAAAGACATACGTCATTTATACTTATTATACTACGAGTGAATTTTTTCCCAACGAGTGGTTAAAGAGTATCGAGTATGACTTCAAAGCTGTTCATGTCACATTCTGTCGGATTGTTGTCTAGCTAGTTTTTTTTACCGTGATTATGAGTAATAAGCTCTTTAGCGAGACATTTATACGCCAAAGCCGAAAATTGGGTCTTTACTAATATTATTTATGACATGCTATATTGAATATAGCGTGCAATACCCCTGTATTCAGCCTATTCAGCCATATCGTTTTTTGGTCATTCACGCGTTCCAAGTTCAAAAATGCAATTTTTTATCTGTCAATGGCCTTAACTGCATAAATTTACACGTGTCTTTTTCCAAAAGTAGTCACAGGAACTGAATGATAAACCCTTTTTCTTTTTCAGGATGAACTTTGTTTCTTGTACAGATCTTTCGATCATCTAAAAACTGACCGTCATAAATATAAACAGCGCGCTCATACGAGTGTTTAAACATAATATACAAGTTTTCGTAACCCATCTATAGTCCTAGCTTAAGCGAAATGACAGAAACCGCTGAGGAAAAGAGGCCGTCGCGTAAGAGAAAGAATCAAACTGAGGAAGTTTTACCCAAAAGACAACCAAAAAGGGCAGCAAAGACCAAGATCGAAACAGCCAGAGCTGAAACTTCAACCTCCAAGACCAAACAGAAAAAGACCGAGGTATGCTTATCATTTGCGTTTTATTCTCGATAGGAAAACCAAGAGGTACCCGTCGAACACTTCTAACAACAAGATGAATCCATTCTTTCTTATAGAACAAAAAGAGCAAATCCGCAGCAACTAAGATACCAACCGCAAAATCGTTTCTTGCTAGTGCTCGTGAATTGAAAGTCGAAATATCTCGTGCTCAACTGGAAGATGGCAAAGTTGATACTAAAACCGATAATACCGAACCTGCCAAGCCATTGGGAAACGCTGAAACCACTCAAACTACAAAGTCGAATGATGAAATAAACGACAAGAAAGGGGATGCTGATGATGATAAGAAGGCGGAAACAAACAATGCCGAGAATGGGATCACAACGTTGTTCTTACTCACAGCTAAACCTCAAAAGTTCAAGACTGGTAGTTACGGCTGGAATGCCAATCAAGCTAAAGCCAACGTTACGGTTGTCATCGATGGCAAACCAGTCGAGTTGTCTGCTACGATCAATCTGAATATAACTGTACATAGTTCTAAGCAATAGAACGTTTGAATAATCTTGGAGTAGATATAGAGTCTGTGTGTGATTGAGAGGACATGTTCGTGCAAGCGTTTTTCTGCTTTATTCTGTCGTCTGTAAAATTTGCTACTTTTTTGATTTCGTTATAGTGAAAAGTTTTGGATATGCTAGGCTTATAACTGTTATCCTATGTAATCTTCCAGTAATTGACATAATAAGCGTCAGTGGATCTTTGACGCTAGTTTTGGATTTGTTCTTTCTGCTGGATAAGTTGTCTTGTAAATACCTTTGTGTAATCGACCTTTTTCAGTTCAGTCGTGTACGATCGTTACATGTTTGATTTGCTTGCTTCAATAAATAAAAGCGAACATCATTTGTCCATCCGTGAGATCATCGTTTACGAGAAGACTTGTCAACACTACATCGTGAGCAATTTTCCTCTTGTTTGTTATACATGTGCGTATTACCTGTGCATATCATACACTAATTTAGTAAAACGACGATTTGGACGTTTTCAAAAACCCATACTTGCCAAATTGTTTGAACGGAAAATTCTGTTATATTAATTTATATAGACCCTAACAGTATCCATTAAATTTACATGGATACGCTGAAAGATATTCCAGAGTTCTTCGAAACTCGACTAGACGAATCCTTGGATGCACGAAGGGAGGGATTAGGTAACTGACTTTTAGTCCGTGTGCCTTTTTCCTCCATCTCTTCGTCTTAGATAATGTCATTTACGAGATCTTTTCGCTGTATTTCTTGTTCTAAACCTAGCCACTTTCCGGGAACTCGGCCCACCAGACTTATGTCACATTACAAAGGCTAATGCGAAACCAGGTGTTAAGGAGGTAGAGAATTTGTCGATTATGACTTATACCATGCAACGATCGTAGTAGGATCTAAACATTATAGACACGATTTTATTCTTTCTATACGAATTTCTTTTAAATTTATGCTTTTAACATTTGAATAGGTCGGCTCTTATCATTATGTATCTGGTGTCGATGCGTCATCCTCGGCTACATTAGCAGCGTACCTTAATTCGCTAACATACGCATTGGTGAGTCAATATATCATTTGGTTCGAACATTTTTTTGGTGTGCTCTTTATGTTAAACGCTCGAGCTATTTCAGGAAGAAGCGCATGCATGGTTCTCAAAGTCATCCGCATGGCGCATTCGTTCGGGCGTGTATTGGTGAGTATGATGATCAATTTATAAAGTCTTTGCGATTTCATACCAAGACTTTTTTTTTCTCTCGCGTAGTTGTTTCAATGCCTTTTCACGAGTGGACGTACGTGTCGAAGTCAAGATTCCTGGAGGGGTAGAGAGCTACGTAATTGATTTGCGCGGTGAAAGGTGGGAGAGAAATGAATGATTCATAAATTTGATACTCAATGATTTGACTAACGTATTCGTTCACTAAACCTTCTAGACGCGAAGCTACGCCAGAGATTTGGCAAGAGACGTACATTTCCGCAATTCTTCGCGCCATATTGTATTCAGATGATGCCAATTATCGTTTGTATGGGATTCGTAAATTGGATCCTATCCCGAATATAGAAGCCGAGGCACATTTCTTGGAAGCTGCTGAACAGTTGTTCTTCAAAGGTTAAGCAGCGTTACTGGTTTACTGATTTTCGTTTTGAGAAATTTTTGTTCAGACATCTATCAGAGTTGTTGAAATATCTACTTTGTCAGAAGAGAAACTAGCTAATATGTAAAAAAAGTAGATTTAGACATTCAGCTTTATTAACTAAATACGATTTGCTCATATTGAAGGTCTACCAATGCAACTAATTATGTATCTGCTTCCAATTCTTTCTAGGATGGCAGCTTGGGTCCGATCCTGAAATCCAAGTAGCTACCGTTGTCAACAATCACTTGACAGCAGGGATTATGAAATATTTCAGTGAGAGCTTTAGATACGAGAGAGCTGTTAACCTTTTTGAGAAGCATATCCTTGCATTATACGATGATTTTGGGGACAATCGCAACAACATATTATTCTTAACAGCTAACTACTTCTTCTCAAGGAATCGGAAGTAGCGGCACTATTGGCAAAGTCTTATATTGGCATGGGTAATGGATGTTTTTGGTGGGATGAGAGAAGGGGGTTTGTCTTGATAATCAATTGACCGCCTTGTAATATCTTTTAAAGATGAAGAAATCAAGGCGGTAAACATTCTGTACGATGCTCTTAAACAAAATTCATTGAGCTGTGCCTTACTTCACGTACAAACAGACTTTCTTCTAAGTAAGGTGAGACTATCTTTTAAACTGTTAATGAACCTTTCTAATTGCATCTTACTAATATGTATTTTGCGCAACTAGGGTGCGGTTGAATATGCTTTAAAGCTAGCGAAGCAGGCGGTAAACTGCGCACCATCCGAGTTTGTGACATGGGCCAAGCTAACAGAAGTCTATATTGAGTTGGGTGACTATGAGTCTGTGTGTCATCAGTTCTAGTGTTTTGTTCGATATTCTTGTGCCTTCTGTGTTTTGTATCTAACTGCTTACATCTGACAGGCTTTATTATCATTGAATTCATGTCCAATGTTTACTTACAACGAAAGGGACATGCATCGTATGCCAACTCCCGCAAGGTCTCATTTACCCGTCAGAGCTGACATAGCAAACGCAGGGATCTTGGGCGACGACAATATTTATGATAATGAGGTACATCGGCAGTCTTATTTGGGTATGCATGGTCTGTAAAACAGGAATAACAGATTTATTGTTTGACGGTGATGTTATTAGTTTGATGAAAAGCCCATATTGCTGCCAGCATCATCTTTGCGGGGAACTTTTGCAAAGGCCTATTTGCTTCTGACACGTCTTGTTCATAAAGTTGGCTGGGATGCATTATTAAAATTTCGATCATCTGTATTTGTTATGGAAGAAGAATATCGACTGCAGAAGGCTGCTGAGGAAGAGCGTCAAAAACGAGTTCATAAGAGCATAAGCCAAGCTGCATTACAAGAAACTGTTAATGGAAATGCCGATCATAAAAAAAGCGACGAGAAAACATCGGTTATACCAAAAATTACTGTTTCGACCGCAAATGAGTCAGAAAACGTAAACAATGATACAGCTGAAAATGAAGGCAACGAAAATACGTCAGGAGCTGATAAAGAAGCCCCGGTTCAGACAGCTACTAAAGCGGCGGTTGAAGACAACAGCCACGGAGCTGCAGAATCAGAACCAGAACCAGAAGAAGCAACGCAGCACGAAGAGACTCAACAAGAAGAGACTCGACCAGAAGAGACTCAACCAGAAGAGACTCAACCAGAAGAGACTTCAGGAAAAACTGATGATGAAACTGATGGACAATCTGGTGACCCTGATAAATTGGAAGATGTCAATCTTGGTGATAGTGCGAACGGCGACGGCAATAGTAATATCGCAGAATCTAAACCCGAAACACATGAACTCAGGACGCCGGAACTTGTGAAGCCAAGGCAGGCTGCAAACGAAGATACATCTGATGCACAAAGTACATGTGATGAATCAAAGGTAAGTTTTACACGCACCCCATGATCGATTAATTGTTGGTAACAAACGACTACTCACTGAACTTTGTGTAACTGTTTAAAGGATGATATATTCTCTTTCAACAACAAGAGACTTTGCGAAAGGTGGTGTATGCGATTGTTTAAACGCTGATGTACAAGGGTTTAACTGTTGCTTTACTAATGCTTTAACGTTTGAACACCATATTATGAAGATGGCTCGACAATTTATTTATGGTGCTTTACGAGGTACTTTATATTGCTTTCAATGTGTCTTGTCGCTGGTTGAATCTTGGACAGATGCTTATTATCCGAGATCTTGTATAGGATTTGAGAATATATACTGGACGGCGTTCAGAGCTTTCACATTACGAGGCTCATCAATTAACCTACCGCAAAAGCAGTGCAGAATGGGAGATGTTTGGTGACTTGGCTGCCCGTTTATATCACAAGGTAATGTACAAAACATGCTATTGGTAGTCAAAGCTCGAAGAATCCAACGCAGGATGTTCTGACCTACGGATCTGCTTTGTGAACTATGAGTTTGTCACGACAATGTGGTTTGGGGAAATAAAACATTAAGGAATTGTCGGTTCTCGAGCTTCGACTATATAAATATAAATTTATGCTTGTAATACTCACAGAGGTTTAAATAGGAGGAATCGATAGAAGCATATCAACATTGCCTAGATCAAAAGTTCTCTCCTAAAGCATGTTTAAAACTCTTGGAGTATTATGCAGAGAAGGGTGATGCACAGAAGGCACTGGCGGCAGCTGTTAAATTGACGGTTTACCAAGAGCGTTGGTACCACGAAATTATCGTAAGTCAGAATCAATTTGCATAACTATACATACAAGTTTGATTACTTATTGCCTTGCTAACTTCCTTGGTAGTATCCTACGGCTGTCTCGTGTAATCTAAACAAGCTCATTCGCAAAGAGGGACTCGCAATAATGTATAATACTCTCCTGGCGATGAACTTGCCCGAAACTGTGCTGAAGCTAGTATTACGTTATTTTACCTTTACTGAAAATTTCAAAATACAAGGATATGATTTTTAAAATTTTGGGAAAGAATAATAATAGACATACAAAAATATAAACTTAAATATACACAGTGTCTTTATATATCAATCTTACAATAAATTACGTTAAATGCTGCAGCGCCTGGAGCGAACAAGAATGCTAAGCTTGTAACTGTAAACGAGTCCGTTGTATGCTTCCACGTAACAACTAGTCTTAATATTCGATGCCATGCGCCAATTAAGAGAACCCTCCTCTCAGTTCTCGGCAGACGTTTTATGAAATTATTCTGCTTGCCATTTATTTCAAACATCATGCTCAAATATAAAGGAAGATTAGAAAGGTATATAAATTACAAATATGACTGTTATTGGGAAGAAAATAAAAGTACAAATAAATTCCATTGATCAAACAAGGTAGATATTGGATTCATCAGCGTGCTAACGACAATGCTATCACCACCAGATACAACAGTGCGATTGTACCCACACAATGACGCAATTGCACGCTGCCTAAATGCTTTATCAAATTCGGACATCTTCCCAAAGGGTCGTGCCAGAACATGCACAAATCTTCTTAGAATTTTCAAATGCTCCAGCGCTACGTGCAATAACACCAGTAAGCGCACCACGACCACTATTTCCGTCAATCTTGCTTTGCTCGTTTGATCCTTGTCCAAGATCATCTTCATCATGAGTTATGACCATAGAGCGTCCTATTATGTCCCAGACCTTAATGCGCCGGCTCTCCACCAACAAATCACCCCAACCATTTTCGTCAACAACTATATTTCCAAGATCGCCGACATGACCTTGCTCCAAGTCTCCGTGCGCGACTCCCTCGGGGTTATAGTGGTCGCCAGTCGAAGCGACACCATCGGAAATATCTCCAGTTTCATGTATATGGATACCATGAGTTCCAGGTGGTATTCCCTCGACTGTTACATCGATTACACAGATATCTTTGTCAATCTGAATGAATCTAGCAACTCCACGAGGTGGACGTTTAGGTTCCGGTTCATCGTCAGATGCAGGTATATATGTATAGTCTTCGAAAATACAAACAGCAGCTCCAGCATGCCCTGCACAAAAATAGTCATAATCATTGTCGTCAACCTCTAGTAGTTTCATCCTATACGACAACCGACATTTTAATTTACCTTTTAGAGTACCTTGACCACGAACCACAACCTTTCTGCCAGTACTTCTTATTATCTTAAAGACTTTCGAAGGAGGAGCTAATAATCACCCAGACATGAGCTAATATCTTGACTCAATTAACAACTTTCAATCGAGTACTGACCAGTTCCTTCTACGGTAACCCGCTGCTCACTCAGGTCAACGTAGAAACCATCGATGCCTATAATAATGTATTACAGTTCACTGTCTTTATGCCTTGAATTAGTCACAACGAAATAAGTGACATTACCAGGTATGTCGGCAAGCGCATTTGACACAGATTCCACACAGTCATTACAGGTCATTTCGACAGCATATTCTACCTTGAATGGAGTCTTCCCTGTTAGAGGCATGTTTTCATCGAAACAAAAGTTTGTGTTGTGAATTTTGCGTAAGAATATTATCTGATCTGAATCACATGATTGATCAATTTTTGTTTCAATAAAATAGGTTGAATTAGATATTGGCCATACTTGCAGTATCAATAAACGCGTTTGGAAAGAAAAGCATGGCTTGCGTAATTTTATAATTGGACGCGAATTATTGGTGTTACATACTAATACACAGTGACTCTCTTTATAGTGTATCAAAAAAATCTACTAGTAAAAAATTCTCAAAAATACACTATATCGAGAGTTATTGAAAATTTATTAGTAAATACACTATATCGGATAGCATTCATTATAGATGGTTTTGAACCTTTATCCACTATATCGCGATTTTAATTAGTCTCCACTATAAAGGAGGTACACTATAAAGAGAGCCACTGTGTACAAATATCGAAGAAAAAATTATACATATTACAGGCTTTAGGTCAAGCTTCGTAAAAGCATCAAAAAATAGCTTTAGCAGTTTCCTATAGTTGTCAATAACTGTTTTATAAAATCAAAATCCTCAATGAATGTTTAATGGAAAAAGACGAGACACGCTATATAAAGAATGGCGTTCTAGTTGATTAGACACCATCTCAAGGAACCAAAATATAGACATTTGAGAGATTGTTGCCAAATCATTCGAACAGTCCAACGTTCCGATCGAACTCAAAAAATTCAAGAGAAAATTGTTCCTTATTTTACTGAGGGATGACATCAGTTCAATCTACGTATCGCAAAGCTTTTTCGACTGTCCAAAAATTTTTGGATCATGAAGTATTTAATATTGAAGAATTTGATGCTTAACATTTTTCATAGTTACAAAATCATCCCCCATGAGATCATTTTGCTGTAAATACCTTACTACATTCGTTAATCCTTCCAAAGCATTATTTACTTTACCAAGTATTTCGACTCTTCATTATTTATATTCTCTGGCTCTTGAGCTTATTCACCACTTACAAACTTGACAATTTTCTCATATTAATATGCCATTTGCACAACTTGATTATCACTCATTTCATTCTACAAGTTCCATAAATAACATATTAATTAGAATATGCTGTATAAACTCTCTGTTTAGTCCAGAATATACTTCTATCCGAGAGATCCGTATCTTCTGGTTTTTTTCCCTCTGTAACAAAGAAGAAACTTTAATTAGACCAATTATTATCCCAACACCCCTTCTGAAATTGTTACACCAAATGTAACCATAATCTTTTCCTGATTTGACTTCCAAGACATTGAATAATTTTTGAAACTCTGAGAATTTGGGATCACTTGATGTATTTAGGATTACAAGGTCAACCCCGATAAACCGAAGATGTCGGTGCAGCCGTTTTTCTTCGGATTAGCGGGGTTGCTCTATAAACCGAAGTTTATATTCAGGGAAGCCATACATTCGGATAAATGGGGTAAGTGCTCGACGTTTTTTATTGTTGGATTGTTGATTTTATATTGCAAATTTCAATTTTTTGAGCAAGCTTAATTGCTGTATGTTTTCTTTTAGGTGCCATGTTGTAGAACGTTTTGTCTTTGTTCGATCGAATTCTTGTTTGTATAAGAGAAGAATATTGCAAAGCAATTTTTATAGAGAAATATAATTGGCTGAAATATGCGGTTTATCGGGGCTATTGTCCATTGTATGCAGAGTGACCAATGATAATTGATGCGCAGAAACACGCTTTTCGTCTATTTAAATATCATGAATAATCGATTTATAATGGCTTATTTTCAGAAAAATCAACCACAACTCAACAAATATCGCTTAAAAAGATAAAAAACCAGATCTAACAATTTTCATCAATAACGCTTTGCGAAAAATGTTTGGAGTATTAATTGGCTTCGTTCTTGGCATGATCTGTAATAGCCAACTCCACAATATGAGAATATTAAGTAAGACTATGAAGTCCAGAAAGTTACCAATAACGAAACCATCAGCGAACAAAACTTACTTGCCAGAGGTCGAAACGTTGTGGAATGATTTTAAACGAAAGAATTAAATTGGATCCAAAATTTTCATTTAACAAAATGGCGTTTGAAATTTATAAATTACTTGAAGAAAAAGCTGTTACAGCTTCCACAATCCGAAACTTTTATCTTCGAAGAACAACTCCGCGGAAAAAGACGATTGAGGCAATTCAACGTTGCGTTCGTCTCAGTTATATCTCATCTCCGGTTATTATAGCAATACTGTGTATTAAGCAATTACTTAATAATTCGTTTTTTTTTGGGGGGAGAATACGTGACCCCCAAAATAGTTGTGTGGCTAATCTAATTAGCCCCAAATTTTAACCGCGGTTTTGTTGTCACATTGCTCGATTTTTACTTTTTACTTTGCACCTTCGATTTTATTACCGTTATTGATTTTCCCAATGTCCTCAGGCTCCGAGTTAGCAGGGATCGAGGTTGTTCATGGCCTTGAAGAGTTCCAAGAAAGCGGGGAACAAATCCTCGTCCTTAAAGATTCCACCATCCTCGAAAATGAAGGTACGCTCTCATTTACTACTCTTTTCTTTCACGCCGTGTACCTACATCCTTCCCTATAAAAAATAAATTCTTTTCCTGTCTCTTAACTCTAAAAACAGGATCATTGAAACTTTGATGTCTAATTTATCCCCAAACTTCATAGAGGAAGGAGATCGGCTTGTCAGCATACAGCTTGAGGAGAAACAACGATTGAAAAAGAATTTAGAAAATAAGAAGAAAAAACCATTGTATACTGGATATGATGATGAAGAATTTCTAATTGGAGGAGGGCAGAAGAAGACGTGGTTGAGTCACTATGACGAGGAGATCAATGGGCCTAAAAGTGATGTGAGTGTTCGTTTTGTTTGGGGATCACATATCTATTGCAAGTGACTTTGTTCGGAATAGGAAACAAGAGATATTAGTTTAATGAGTCTGAAATCTTACGACTGCTATAAGCGACTAATCGTCGACTGCAACACTTTCCTCTATTTTCAGTCATTTAGGCTTGATGTGAACGGGACGGCTAAATTGAGTGAGGTGGAAAAGAAAAATGAAATTTCTGAAAGACTAAAAGCTCGAGCAATATCATTGCAATATGACAGTAAGAGTTGAAATTTTTATTGTCTGGACCCACTTTACATTAGATGACGACAATTAGAATAACTAATATCTGTAATATTTATAGAAATGAGAGAGATACAAGATTATTATACCAAAGAAGAAGCAGAAATTACATTCAAGAAGCCAAAGGTAAGAAACTTGTCTTCATTAGTATAATACTTTTCCTTTACATCTTCTTTGTCTACAATTACGTTCTTCTGTCTTATACTCTTAGTCGAAGAAGAAGAAAAAAGTAAGAAAGAAAACAGTTGAAAAAGATGATGACAACGTTCAACTTCAGCAAACTCAGAGCAAATCTAACTCAAATGAAGATTCTATAACAACGCAAGCTGCACAGAGTAGGAGACAAGTGAACCTGGATGATGTCAATTTCGTAGACGATGATGATCTGCAGCAAGCCCTTGCTAGAGCGAGGAAGATTGCTTCAAAGAAGGCGATTAAATCTCAACCTGAAACCATAGCTGAAAGCTGTATGTATTCACAATTATCAATTTCAAAGTGTAGATTTATTGTGTTTATACATTTACACGTACTTTGCACCTTATTTCATCAATTCTCCAGTGGCCGGAACAAGAGACGTTCAGTCAGACGACGAAGATACAAATTCCTCCAGCCTTGTAATATCGGATACATCTGAATTTGTCCGCTCTCTCTCTATTGCCCCGGTCCCTGCCAAACCGTCAGCGCCTTCCCCAAAACCTTCAGCAAAACCTTCAGCATCTCAGCCTCCCAAACCCACTTCTGGACCTTCATCTGACGTCGAACAGCAAGAAGACCATTCCTCGTCTGATAATGAATCCTCCCGTGGTGGATGGAAGTCTGCTGGTGTAGTAGAATCACAAGACCTTCCTCAAATTGGGGAAGAAACAAAACTAACCGGAGTTGTGGAAGAAGAACCATTGGTTAGTCAAGGAATGGCAGCTACCCTGGCTCTCTTATCTCAAAAGGGATTTTCAATAAAGCCTAACGAAGAGCAACTGGAGAAGGAGAGGATCCAGAAAGAGAGGCAGAAGTGGTTATTAGAACAGAGAAAGAAGGATCTAGAGAGGCAGTTAGAGAGGGAAAAAGAGAAGCAAAGAGCTAAAGAGAAGGGTTATAGAGGTGGCGGCGGGAGGGAAAACGATAATAGTTATAGAGATAGAGAGCATTTGAGAGAAGTTGAAGTAAGGTTTAGGGATTATAAACCGGATGTCAACTTGGAATACGTGGATGAGTTTGGAAATCCTTTAACGCCTAAAGAGGTATGAAAATATGCGAAGCGGGGAGTCGGGGACGGTGGGAATTTGATACAGTTATGTTCGTCAAAGAGTTCCTCTGAGGCAGACAACAACACTCATCTGTTTTTGGTAATTAATTATGATTTACCTTTTTTTAGGCTTTTCGTCAATTATCACATAAGTTCCATGGCAAGTCGTCAGGTAAAGCCAAGACAGAGAAGAGGCTTAAGAAGTTAGAAGAGGAAAGGAAATTGAAGGCTATGAGCAGTATCGACACTCCATTGAACACAGCGACAGCCTTACAGGAGAGACAGAAAGCGAGTGGGAGCGCACACGTTGTGTTATCTGTTGGCAATCGAGCGTGAGTACGCTTCATTATTGTATTAATACCGTAGTCACTACGTAATGACGTGAATTGAATATATTGTTATATTTATCTTTTATAGAGTTGTTCCTCCAAGTATGAATTTGAATGCAACAGGGAAGAATGAAATGAGTGCTAAGGCATCAGGTATTAATTCTAATGCTCCAAGTATTATCACTGTTAATGGTGGATTGACCGGACAGAGTATGAATGCGCCTGAAAGAGAGAAGGTAAGAGTGATACCGTAATTATTGTATGATGAGTTGGACTATTTAGACGTTGATACGCAGACCCCAGTAGAGTTAAAGTCTAATGTTGTTAATCTCGATTAGGTTATTTTCGGGCTCAAACGTAGAGCAGAGCAAGATCAAGATAAACCATCGAAAAAGCGGTAGTTTTTTATGCGACCGTTTATTATTACGCCTTTCGTTGATTATTGTATTTGTAGATTTAAATGAATAAACAAACGAATCGTTCCATGCATAAATAACACATAACATTTGAAACGTTAGTTTAGTTAATATCTAGGATCGGAATCAAGAATTTCTAAGTCTTTTTAGTCATTTATTATCTTTATCTTTTTCTGATTTGTGCAGTCTTTTCTGAGCAGTCAGCACCGATATTTCACCAAAGCTATTATGAAACTCATTTACGTGGTAATAAACTTTCGTTTACATCAAACGATGCTTATTTGACTTCGTCCCTCCACCAAAAATATTGTCAAGTTATTTGTTGGAGATCATAACTAATTCCAACTTTTGCTGGCATAGGTTAATTCAGATAATTGCAGATGTAACGGACAAATAGCAGCGCGCTCCCTTATTATCAACGAATATCGAATGATTATCGTATGATTAGAGAAACATTGAAATATCTTCTAGCCTTAGATATATATCTCATGCTCTACTCAGATCCGTTCTCTGGATTGCGTCTTTTAGCGCATAGTTCCTTGTCATTTGAACGTAGCGTGTTTCCCAATTAGCTCCCATGTTCATAAACCCTTACGTGCGAGTATCTTTTTCCTCGGTAAAAACTGTCTGCCCCCAGGCACTAAAGATAGCTGCAAACGAAAGCAACGCTACAACTCTACCAAATCTCTTCGCCAAAGTTTCCTCCATGCCTCTCTCTTCTCGGGCCCTTCTAAGTTTCTCTTCCTCTCTTGACTTTCTCCTTTTTTCATTTTCATAATGTCTCTCAAAATGATCCTGAAAGTTAAACTTTGCATTTTTGTAACGTCCAAAATCGTTCTCTCGAGCTCCATAGGACGCATGCCGATAATGAGCAGCAGTAGTAGACCAGTGAGAACGATGGGTTCGAGATCTAACACCAACCATTTTGTGTTTTATGGATCTGTCATATTCACGTCGTTTTGTATCGTCGCCGAGTATAGAATAGGCTTCATTAATTTTGAGGAATTTTTCATGTGCAGTCTCGTCGCCCTGATTGAGATCAGGGTGATATTTTTTAGAGAGTTGGTAAAACTGGGCTTTGATTTGAGATTTGTCTGTATCAGGGAAAACACCAAGAGTGTCGTAGTATTCTGTAGATAGACGAATTGCGGTGGAGAAGGCACGGTAATTAACGGGGCAAGACAAAGGTGAGGAGAATGAAGGTCGAAGAAACAAGGATAATCTGAGTGGGTGAATATAGCGGGGCATAGATTGTAAAATATTGCTTGAATGTAGACAGATCAGTTTTCAAAGGGCGGGAGAAATCGACAATTTACGATTTCAGGGGTTTCGAATGGTATTTAGTGCGACTGACCCCTGAAAAAATCCAAGTATTTATTACATCTTTTAATGGAATAAATAAGACGCGCCTTGCGGATTAGATCATTAAAATTACATACTGTAAGGTATGCATTTAATCTATTATCATGGCCTTATCCCTTTTGCTTGCTTAATGATCACGATGCCGAATCAAGTTTACAAGACACGATAAGTCATGAACATCTCAAAAAAGAGAAAGATCAAAAACAGGAATTGTTTGTACTGTTCGGACAAATTGCCGAGTCTCATTCGATCCCAGAGGCCTCTCAAGTTTTGTTTTAGAAGCGTGGACTTCTGTATTATAATATCTCTCGCCAGTTAAAATTTTGTACCTCATAAATGCATTCTTAATAGATGGGCATTAAGTCCAAAATTAACCAACATAGGAGCAGGTAAAGAGTCCTTAATCAAAATATTTCCTCCAGTTTGACTATGCTTTTTTTTTTTTACAATCAATTATAATTACTGGCGGTAGACTGTATGTAATACAGAAGCCACAAAACTTGAGACTACTGGGGGTGATGTAACTCCAGCTTGTGATGTGATCTTCATCACACGCGCCGCGTTAGTCGATTATCACATGTGATAAATAAAATCTTTCTCCCCCGCAATGCTCCTTCTCACACAATGTCTGAATTTATAGACTCTATAATTGCATCTGTAGACTTCTCTGAGCGGACCTTTTGGATATCCTTTGCTTCTATTACGTTTAATCCGTTATGGTGGAACATAGTTGCAAGATACGGTGAGTGAGGCTATTATATGTTCGGTGAAAGTGTCTATGAATGCAACTGACGATCTTGCTGCTGTGACATTGGGAATAGAATATAAAACGCATTTTATTACGAAGCTTGTTGGAGGAAATCCTTATTATGGATGTTATTTATTGGCTGCGGCCATCTTTGGTTTGGGGATACTTAGAGACTACTTGTAAGTTAACTGCATTCTTGATTTTAGTCCGTCGGCGCATCGATTAATGACAATGCTCACCGAACGTTACAAGATATAAGAATGCGATTGAAAATCAGTCAGTCCTTCCAGAGCTAGATACACCGATCGTTAAGACGATCGCATCAACGCTCTCAACCGTCGGCATTGTATTTGTGCTTTCTTCCATGTATGCGTTAGGCTTGACCGGAACTTATCTTGGTAAGCGTACTGAATACAATCTTATTTCCATATATTACCAGCATCTTATTGGTGTCATTTTACAGGTGATTACTTTGGCATATTAATGGATACGCGAGTGACCTCATTCCCATTCAATATACTTGAAGATCCTATGTATTATGGCTCTACAATGATCTTTCTTGGGACAGCGTTATGGTAAGAATAAGACATTTAATCAATCGTAGGCATAGTCATATATTTTACGATACTATTGCTTCATTGTCATCACTGAACAGGTATGCAAGCCCCTCTGGAATTTTACTAACAATCTGGGCATTAATTTGTTATTTAATCGCACTGCGATTTGAAGGGTAAGTTTGTATTTCTTAATTTTAAGGAAACATTCAGACATTCTAATGGATATTGTTTATTTAGCCCATTCACTGCGTCGATTTATGAAAAGAGGGATCAAGAAAGGAAAGCAAAGAAACATTAAAACAGAAAGATCGAGTGCTTCTAATTGGGCAACTATCGAATTCGTAAGACGTCAAAAAACAACCACAGTATTTCCTTGGTCACCCTAGACATCAATTTAAGTGAATAAAGTTTGTGACTAGCTACTAATTATTATGTGAACAAAGTGAATATCAAAGCGAGAATTAGGCTTAAAGTGTCGATGGAAATAAAAGTAACGGGATGAATAAAGATAACTGTTACTCGTCACGGGAGCGCTAAAATGATTTGGTTTTTGGGGAGTGAGTGACTCGAACACCCAACCTTCCGCTCTGGAGGCGGACGCGCTACCATTGCGCCAACCCCCCATTTCTTAGTTCTTGCTTCGCATAATCATTTCAAAAATTTCTTAAAGATTTACACCATACAACACCATGTCATATGTAATTTTTAACGGACATTGATCCATGCCACAAATTTAATGTTCACCGTTCGTCATTAATTAACCAAAACAAGTATAAAAAAAAAAAATAACTCAAAGCTGCGGAAATTAACAATACCATATTAAAGCAGTACTTGAAATGAGAACGATCTCTGCATCCGCAATAACAATTCCTCCCGTTCGGGATTCAAAGTTGGCTAAGATGCTAGGACGAACAGATCTGTTTCTTTCACGTTACAGTTAATAATATAAGTATTTTTACATTATGAATGGAACAATATTCATTGCTGCGGCTTATATGATATGGTACACAGCGCGGCGTCCAATGAACGATTTTAGATCCTTAATATCTCGATTTGTGCTAATTGTTGAACTTCTGTTTACGATAAGGAGTCAACATGTGTATCTGTAATTACATAGTTTAGCGAACTGATAAAATTTTTTAAGCTTGGAAACTGGGACATTACGTTCTAGTTTTTCTATTTCCCTCTTCATGAGCATAAGCATTCTTGTACTCAACTCGGTATTCGCAGTGACAATGCGTAATCTCAATATTAAATACCAACAGAGTCGTTTGTTTCCGTTTGAAGATTAATTAACCAATTCGAGAAGCATGACTCTTCTTGTCCTGCTTTTGGAGGAGGGATCGACAGATAGATCTAGCGATTCCGAATACACGGATAAGCCGAAAGCTTTTATCACATGCTATTACATCTAATAAATTTTCAGGGTCTTTATCACCTATTTAATCGTAAACGTGCGAACTTTATGCATTAGGTCTCAATACAAGAAACAGAGAAATATGTCTCGGGTATTGAAGGTTGTTGTCCAATATTATTGTTAGTTAATAACTGAATCTTCTTTAAACATTCGCTTACACAGTTCGAGCACACAATTTTTCTGCAGAAATAGCAATCTCTGGTGAATATAAATGTGGGTTCGTGCTTTAGAGAATTCTATTATTTTATTCTCATCAAGAAGACTGTCGATATATAATTGACTATGGTCAACGCTAAGAAATCGTTTGAAATTAAATAGTCGAAGGAAAAACTGCGATTTCATAACTATGAACTTTAAAACCTGGATTCTCATAAACCCACCAAATTAACCGTAAACTTTATGCTCTCCAATTAGTTTAACTTTACTGTAACAAGGTTTTTACAAGCATTAATTTTATCAATGCCAGAAACGTTGAATTTGGCTTGTTCACTTTGCCTGGTTTGCTTGTATTATTATTATATCTGTATTACGTCATAATTACTGTGTTACCCATACGGTAACAAGAAAACAGAGTTCGCCGTTATTCGTAAACCTGAATATTATAATCTTCCGAAAAGGCTAGTTATCTTGGATAAATATTTTAGTACTTCCATTTTAAGCATAAAGTAGCGAAAATAGGAAATGAAGAGGGGTATGAAAATCTATGGCGTTTCGGCTTTATGTACATTATAACCCTTAGCATCACCGTGCAGCTAACGTTGTGGGAAACAAACACCTGAAATTTGTTCATGACGCCAATGACCCGATTTGTTCTAGTTTAAGTTGCATATTTTAAATAGATATTCCGCCCACGCAAGTATAAATATTCCGAGTATTTTATGTTCGACGTTAAATAACACTAACAGACAAAACGCAAAGTGCAACCCGTATATGATATCTAGATTATCAGTTATTGCAAGAAATCAAGTAAAACCGATTGCTCGCTATTCCCTACTTGCTTACCAAAAGATGCCAGGCCATCAGCTGTTGAACAAACCGGCACCTGCAGACATTACTCTCCAAAATCAAGATGGCGTGGAGGTGGAATTGGGTTCATTTATTGGGAAGCAGCCAGCTATTGTATTCTTCTATCCTAAAGACGAAACACTTGGCTGTACTAAGGAGGTAACTAAACATATTCGAATACTAAAAACTATGCTCGCTCTATGCTCTTCTCATATCTTATTCTTTCTTGTCGAACTCAGGTATGTTCATTCCGTGATTCCTACGACATATTCCATGAAGCTGGTGCCACCGTTGTTGGAATATCAGCTGATCCGGTAGATAAACATAAAAGGTTTTCACTCTCCAATCGGTTGAATTTTCCTCTGCTGTCCGATGTCAAGGGGGAGGCACGTAAAGCTTTTCAAGTTCAAAAGAATCTGTTTGGCCTTGTCCCGGGACGTGTTACGTATCTCATAGATCGAGAGGGAATTGTCCGTGACGTATTCAATTCTCAGTTAGATTTCGATGGGCATGTGAAGCGGAGTATCAAGTTTGTTAAGCAGAATCATGATGAAACCAATGAATAAGTTGCTCTACGGCGAAGCCTTATAATATGTAACCAAAAAGTTAATCGTCTATGCTACCACTAATCTTAATACACTTGTATTTGGAGGCTGTTTACGAGCAGGGGCTTTGGTAATAGTAATGCTGCGAGAATCGCATGATTATCATCTCAATTCTTGGCACAAAATGGGGGCTTATCTATATCATTAATAAAGCAATCACTATCTTCATATTGTCAACCATACCTGTCTGTTGCAGTTAACTCACGATTGGTTGATCATTGAGAGTTTATTGGTTGTACGATGATTCTTGGATAATTTTTTAAGCGACAACGTTAACTATTAACTATATGAATCGTTAATCGATAATTCACACTCTCAACTTGTAAGACCGAATTAAACGGCTGCTAACACTAGGTCGAGATTACATCAAACATGGATAATTGAGTGGATAATTTTGCATATTAATATTAACATTTTACAGTTACGAATTGTTATTCTTGATAATAGGCTATGTCAGATACTGCATAATGAGTTAATATGTATATTGACTTGCCACCTGAACCTGGGGCAGAATACGCCGCAGAGTTTGTTTTTTTACTGATATGTTAACAATAATAGTGCGAATATCGACTAGTAGTATGCGAAATATGTTATATTTGAGTATCGTGCGCATCACAAAGCTGACTTTAGGTTAAGTAAACGTTCAATCTGGCAAAACATTGTGTGTGGCCTTAAATCCTTCCATGTACGTTCTCTTACACGTTTTTTACCTTTTCTTTTTATATCTACTATCATATTGCGAGCTCTTTTTGAAGCATCCATTAATTCCTTACGTGTCGCAAGTTGCCAGCATCCTTTCTCAAATTCTTCGTTGGTAATTCTTCGTCTAACTCTACCCCGTTTCTTTCTATTCTCTCGCCAACAATCGTCGCGGAGCTCGAACCACTATCGGGAACTAGTGATTCGGCATTTTACATATCAAGAAGGGATACTGGTAACTACGTTAAAGTCTTCATATATCAGACGATTCGATGTTCTACCCACAGCTTTAACCAAATGTTTGCATATCAGAAATCGATTTTGGAGATACGAGAGACAAGTACAGATCCATTTGTCAGAATCGACATAATACCGGTCCAGTGTGTGTTCATCGACGCTTTTTAAAGCACATTGTTTCCATTTTTTTTGAAATCCTCCCACCAATGCGGATATATCGTTCCATTGGATAATTGATAGAATCGATTACATTGTGCAGGAAGTAGCTTTTCACACAGTACGTACACAACATAGTCCAATGGCGGACGATAGAATCTATAGACCTTCCAATGTGACTCGATGATCATGTTGGTTTTTACCAAAAGGTATTTTTGGATAACAACTTCTTGCCCACAACTTCCAGCGATTCTTAGTATACCACGAAAAGTAGACGTAATGCCATAGCCGGGGATTTGGGCTGGGATAGTACAGATTGTTCCTGTCATTTCTGTGTCGGGAAGAAAGGTTGGATCGATAAACGGAAAATTTTATAATAATATAACTCAATTCAAAATCACATAGTTGTCAAGAAAAAATATCACTATCCACTTGCCCAGGTTTATGTAATTATTTACTTTTGATATATATACAGTATATACTTTACTGACATGAGAGAAATGATTTGGCGAAAGTGAATGATTTTAATCATCTTTATCTTTCAGAGTTCGTGCATTAGTAGAGCCAGTATGGCTTATGCTGTGATCTCAATTTCATACCCCCCACATTTAATAAAATAGGACCCAGCTTCATATCTACCTCTTATACTCTTCTCGTCCTTATGACTCAACTTGCATGCTGGACATAACGACTTATCAATGATTCCATAATAATCGAATTTTCGCTACTAAACTCTCTATGTATATCAGGATATCGACCTAATATTTTATTACGAAAATAAACGCGATCATAGGTTGGATTAGATGATACACTTGCACAATCTATAGATGGAATCTTATTTTCTGACAATATATTATCAGATGAAGCACTTACCTCAGTTTCTGGTAGATTACATGCGCGTGAACAATTGTTCACGCTGATCAATCTTTGGCATGATTGGTGCTGAGGTTTGGCTAGTTCATCAGTATAAAGTTTTATTATATTTTGGATTTGCATATCTGTTAGCCTAGAAATAGCATCAGCACTATATGTAACTAACCCGATTTTATCTATTCCTATCCCTTTAAACAATATATAGATATTCGAGTCATCTTGCGCAAACACTCTCTTTTAATACCAGATAGATATGGCATCACTTCATCGTAAATTTGTGTTCTTGCCATTTGATTGCTAATACTGTTTTCTGACCTAATAGTCATAACCTTTTTTTCATATTCCTCACTGTAATAATACCAACGCAATTTTTTTTTCCGACCAGTTTTTTCAGCTTTGTCAAATAAATGTACTAAATGAGATACAGAACCTGGTGTTAGATCAATATCAATAGGAATGTCTGAAATTTGTTTGCTATATATACCACTCGGAGGAGTTTTATTCAGATCTCGGGAAGATACGAAATCACCCTAATAAATTCGAATAGCTCACATATTGAACCTTGTTCTACTTTCTGATTATAAGGAATCTTTATTTTAGGAGGAATGGCACTTAGTTCAGGAGAAATGGCACTTTGTGTGTGTGCTTGATTAGTAAACAATTTGGGCTCGGCGAAATATTGGATTGATTACTCTGTAAGACAGGAAGTTTCGAGCAAGCCAGAATTATTGTTCTGTTCAGAAATAATAATAGAACGAGTATCTTGAGAAGTTGAAAGTGCCTCTTGATCTCGAAGCTTCTTTTCCCTGATTCTCTCCATTATTTCGTTACTAACACTTTCTTTATATACTGTTTCTACAAAATCTAAGGTCTCGGCTGAATTGTCATCAATAATCTCTTGTGCCAAAGAGGTTGCGGATGGTTCAGGCTCTGTTGGAGATTTAGATTGGGTCGAGCTATGTTCCAGTTCAGGTAATTCCGGACAAGCGGATGGCTGCGAAATATCTCCTATAGAAGGTATATCCAGTTCATTAGGAATAACTCGGGTTTGTAGTTTGATTTCCTCGATGTCATGTCTTAATTTCGCTACTTCGGCTTTAAGTTTAGTATTCTCAGCTTTACGCTTGGAATTTTCAGCCTCAAGGTCAGATTTTTCTTCCATGGTCTGCCTAAGCTTCGCATTTTCGGCCTCAAGCTCAGTGATGCGTTTTTTCAACAAATCTAATTCGGAATTCATGTTCGATAATATTTTTATAAGATGTAGATTTATTCAATTATTCTGCGCATGAACAATTGTTCACGCCGATCACTTTTGCCAAGAAATAAAATAATCGCGATCTCTTTACGAAGTAAAGGGGCTTCCAGCTGATATATTTACATACGACAATCTTTTATTTAACCTATAATGATTATCATTGATAAATTTACATTGGAAAATCGTGATTCACGACAATTCAGCATTTCATCTCTTGGAATAATTCAGCTGCGTAATGTTTTAATCTCTCGAGGATCCTTAGGATATTTCCGAGTCAATCGATATTATGCGTGGTATTAGTATTAGGATTTTGCTCAAAAGAAAAAGGAAAAGAATGTGTATGGCAATAATTATTTTTAACGCAAAATGAAAAATAGCAATTCTTTATTATAACAAATTGTACATATAAAATACGCTATAAACTGGTCCCCAGCACGACTAAATAACAAACCACATTAATACGACAGCTATTTGTCTTCCTCCTCGTCTTCGTCTTCCTCTTCCTCTTCCTCATCTTCTTCCTGTAAGAGTGATTCACGAATTTTGATTAATGCTATCAAAACTGAACGTCTTCCTCCTGGTTCAGCAAGATCGAAACCAGTCGTCAAACCATTCTCAGCTGGCCATCTTTGAACCTTAACTGACTCTTCTTTCGGTAGGCCGTTTGCAAGTTCCATCCAATACGTTGCAGTAATCATAGCTTTATAAAAAGTAACATATGTAGAAATTACACGAACGGCCCATATTGTCTGATCTCTAGGTCTCGCTTCCCCAAGGGAGCGTATATTCTCACTACCACAAGAAAGAATCTCCACAGCGATCTGTGATTCTCCAAAATCAATAGCATACCCGACATTTTTCAGGTGTTTGTCTTGTTAAAAAAGTTGTTTGAGATGACGAAGATAATAACATGTCAAATGAACAACAACATACAGACCTCTACCACAAGAACAGCTATGTTTTCCTTCTTTACCACAAATTCGGTGTCTGATGATACGTAAGGCTCATCACCAATGTATAGTTTGCATGGCAGGTTATTTCTGGTTTAAGATAATACAAATTTTAGGAAAATCATAGGAACATCATAAACTTCACTTTTATAGATATTAACTTAATCTTCAGGGGGAAGTCGTTCAAATCAACAACACGAAGAAGATCATCCACTAACGCATCAGTGTGAGTGCCTATCATCTGAACCGAGTTTTCTGTGATATCGTACAGTTTGTCAATAAACGTCTTAATAGCATTACTCGAAATTCCTTCAAGGTTTTTAACATTGAAATCTGGTGATCTCAGCAAACATCTGTTAATTCCGGTGAGAACATACTCGTCCGGAAAGTTGACAACTGGACAATATTTAAATTATAAGTATTAGGTTCACTAAGGATTGTTGAAGCAATGTACCTCGTACCTTGAACTTTGGGTATAACAACACTTTGGGATGAAGCTCCAAGGAAGTTCACTTTCAGTGCCTCCATATCTCGTATTTTGAACTTAGATGCCGAAGAAGGGAGGTCCTCTAAACCATAACTAGCACTCAACCAGAGATTTGTAGTGGCTCTCGCAAGCTCCGAGACTTCTCTGGTAAGGCGCTTAGGCTGTTGACAGGTGGCAGAAGAGCTCGCAACTTCATTTTCGACGTTTTTTCGTTTTTTTGAAGTTTTTTGTGCAGTCTCTTTTGGAGAACTCTCCACTTTGGTGCTTTTTTGTTTCTGGCTTTTTGAAGACATAGTAACAATAAAAGCTATGTGAGAAAAAATTTTCTGCATTACATCATGCATGATTGCAGGAATAAAACCACCTAAAGTATTCCTGAGGGCTAGTACTTTAGACTTTTATTTACTGCTATTTCGTGAAGAGTCTTTTCTTGATTTTTCTATATCAATATGTATTATGGGTCACAAAAATCCCTAGTAATGATAATATATCGTGCTTGTTATTATTATATCAATAAATAACTAAAATAATAATTGTTCGATAACTTTTATTGCTTGAATTTTTACGCATGTATAATGATGATAAAGTATTTAAAGTTTTATATTTATTCTATAAGACCCAGTTCTCGAAGATGCTCTGGAATAACTATATATGGGTCTTCATAATACCAGACATATCTTAAAACAATCCAATTTTCTTTGCACAATTCTTTCTTGAGTTGATCCCGTGCCTGCTGTTTAATAAAATTATTAGGATCACCTCTATGAAAGAATTTGATATATTTTTCATGTTGCTCCTGTCAAGATTTACGATAAACACACGTATTCCTCCGTGATTTCCGATGAGTTACACGAACATTTCCAAGCCGCAGCGTTTTCGTTTCACAGAATGTAGGACCAAGAAACGAAACAGATTTCGATATATCGGGTTGACAGATGAAAACGAAACAGATTTCACCCGATG